CATTTGTCCTTCCTTGCACTACTTTTCGTAGGTACTAAACACTGCATACCGGGAACACCCTACAACACTTGCCATTTTGAAGATGCTCCGGCACAGTCATGTAGCCAACTCTCTTAAGTCACTCAGATCTTTTCACTTGCTAATTTTTCCTGTTTCCAAAACATGACATTCATGAACGACTGTTCACTTGCTGCCTTATATGTCCGACCCCTTAGCAGGTGCCATTGTAACAATATAATCAATGTTATTCACTTAATTTATAAGCGGTTTTAATGTTGTGGCTGATGCATACCAATAAGTAATACCTTTCTATGGTGTTTCTTCCTTCCCAGCATAAAAAGTGCCAAATAATGTAGGAAGTATCGGCATATAACAGGGTTTAAATGCTAAACACAAGCATTCGTTAATATAGCCACCTGCCATGGTTTTAATTACACAGAGTGTTGGCAGAAGAGTTTGATATGCTAAACACTCGTCTGACACAAAAAGGGTTAAATGGCACATGGTGATACCTTCCTCTGACCACTGCTCCCATCCTTGACAATTGGTGTTCCCCATGTTTCTTGCTAGAGTGTTGCCTTTAGGAATAGGCATCTTGCAAGATTTATTATCATAGAATTTGCTTTTTTACAGCAAGAGGGGTAACTAAATCTGTTTGATTTGCATTGGCAGTGTCCATTTCAGACACAAGAAAAAGAAAACATTGCTGACTTGTATGGAAACGATTTTGAAAAAAGCTATACATTTATTTTACATGAATGCAAATATAAGCTGTGGATGTCATCATTTATTGATGTTCGTGATTTGATGTGCATTTTCCAGTGCACCTGGGTAAATCGGCTTTCTGCTTTATTTCCATTTAAGTAGCCATAATCATATTTAGGATCCATAACCTGAACATCCATTTGTACTTGGCACATGAAATGTAGGTAGTACATGTCATCAGTAATAGGAACATCAGGGGTGATCCTAACCTCTGATGTCTTATAAGTGACTTAGCCATGTTTAAATTATCCCATAGTATGAACTTTTTATAATTTGAGATAGGCAAGCCAGGGTGATGCAAGCAGGTTAGATAGAACTATTCCACACCTTCCATGTGACCAAATGTATCCCAATCCAGAAAGTTGTGGCATTACTTACATTGTCCTTGTGCTAGTTGGAGTCCTCTGTTCAACTAAGGTGTCCGGCCTGTGCAGTTCGGGACACTCCGAAAGGGGCGCACACACCAAACGTGACCGCTATTTAAACAGCCAAAATTGCAAAGTAAAGAATGCTGCTTACAGTGTGCTTTCTTAAATGGGCAATGGGGGCGTCACGTCAGTTTCGGATCAAATTTGTCAACATCAGTCAAGTGCCTACATTCAAGTACATTTTGGAGTCGCCGTCATTATGTGGACCAATCAAAACATATCTAAAAGTATTTAAGCTTCTTTGGCCCTATTTGCTGTGCCCTATCGTGGTTTCTGTTCTCAGTACACTTTAGTGCGTCCCTTACTATATAGCACGGGCGTAGGAACCGGGGGGGATGGCGGGACGCATCCCCCCAAGGAAATCATCCGGGGGGGGACAGATAATGCAGAAATCCCCCCCCAGGTCTGCCGGCCGAAGGGGAGCGCAAAAATCACTTGTCAGACTGACAACTGATGTTTGCCGTCCCCCTGACAGGCTGCGTGCGGCTCCATAATGGAACCACACGCAGTGTACACTGGGAGGGGGAGCACCTCCCCCTCCCGCCTCCGCTCTGCATAGGAGCCCCGGGTGTCACGTGAATAACCGGCGCTCAGTCTGAAGAGGTCCCCCTCCCCTGCTCTTTTCGGTAAAACGGCAGGGAGGGGGACAACAGTGTGCAAGTGGGAGAGTGGAGCCGGCGTCATTATAAGCTCAGACACTTGCTCTGGAAAAAAAAAAAAAAGCAGCTGCCTGCCCTGCCACTGCCAGGTATTTAGTATGGAAGGGTTAGAGGGGAGATATAATTTGGGGAGGGGGAGGGGTGTGGTAGAAAAATGAATG